TGGGGAGAGAATAAAGAAGGCAATAAGGCAAATCTAGGAGATGAGATGGTGATAAGTGCTAAGGAGAAAAATAAAGCATAAAGGAAAGATAGGAATTGTGTGTGGAGAGAGTATTGAGAGAAGGGGGTTGTAATTTTAGACAATTTTCAGAGAAGGCCTTGAGCCAAGATCTGAAGGAGAGTAGGGAAGAGCCGTGTGGAAATTTGGGGGGAGGTGTTCCAGACAGGGAATTGCAAGCAGAAGGGCTCTCAGACATTTGCAGTGTGGTGAGTTCGGGGAACAGCATGGAGGACAGAGTGGCTGAGAACAATGAACAAGAGGAGGGTAATGGGAGATGAGGCTAAAGGGAAGGGGGTCAGACTATGTAGGACTTTATGGACCAGAAAAGGACTTCAGCCCTTTTATTCTCAAAGATGCCACGGAGGGTTTTGAGCCAAGAAAGGCAGGATCTCTATGGCTTCTTAGAGGGGGTGAGGAAAGATCATTTTGGAAGATATTCCAATAATCAGGTAGTTTTGACTGTGAGGATAGTGGTGGAGGTGGTGAAAAGTGAATTCTGGATGTGTTTTGAACGAAGGGCTAACATGACTTGCCAATGAATCAGATGTAAAGTGAGAGAAAAAGGGTTCCAGAATGACATCAAGGTTTGGGACCCGAACAACTATAAGAATCAAGTTTATTTTTAGTGAGATGGGAAAGTTTGCAAGAAGAGTAGGGTTTGGAGGGGTAAATCTGAAGCTCAGTTTAGGACATATTAAACTAGGAGTTACTAATAGATATCCAAGTGGAGATTTCAAATAAGCAATTGAATATGGGTTCAATTAAGCCTTCTGTAATAATCAGGGTTCTCCAGAGAAACAGAACCAACAGGGGTGTGTGTGTGTGTAAAAGAGGAGAAAGAGAGAGAGAGAGAGAGAGAGAGAGAGAGAAAGGAAGAAAAAGGAAGAAAGAAAGAGAAGGAAGGAAGGAAGGAAGGAAGGAAGGAAGGAAGGAAGGAAGGAAGGAATAAATTTATTTTAAAGAATTGGCTCACATGATTGTGGAGGCTCACGAGTTCTAATGGGGTAGGCTAGCAGGGTGAACAGCTTCAGTTCAAGTCCAGAAGTAGTATGCTGGCAGAATTCCTTCTTGCTCAGGGGAGGTCAGTCTTTATTTTCTTAAAGCCTTCAACTGATTGGATGAGACCCACCCACATTATGGAAGGTAGTCTGCTTTACTCAGTCCACCAATTTAAATGTGAATCTCATCTAAAATTACCTGCACAGAAAGGTATAATAATGTTTGACCAAATATTGGGGCACTGTGGCCCAGCCAAGCTGACACATGAAATTAACCATCACATCATCATCACCATAATAACCCTAGTTACAATTTACTGGGTGTCTACTATGTTGTTATGCATGATAAATGAGCCTTTGCTGTTTGTCATTAAACTACCCCCCAAGACACCACAAGCTAGATATTATGTATAGGTAACAAAACTGAGGCTTTCAGAAAGTGAGTAATTTGTCCATGGTCACATGGCCAAGAGACAATCCCACATCCCACTTCAGGATCTATAACCTTCCCCTCTATATCACACTGCCTCCCAATCCACACACTCCTACCTCCCCAGACATGCTATTTTGAATATCTATGCCATGTCACATGCTGCTCCTTCTGCCTGAAAAATGCACTCTCTCCTTCATCTGAATAAGCTTTACCCCTCCGTCAAGACTCAGCTCAAGGGTCACCCTTTCTAGGAAGCCTTCCTTGATTCCTTCTCCCACCTGGATTTTAGAAGCTCTTCTTCTATGCTCTCATAAGCAGTGGACTTTACACCTGTCTACAAAAGGAATCATCAAACTACAGTTGCTGGTTTGCTGACCTTTCTTCTTCATTAGCCTATAAACTTCTTTTTTGTTACTTCACCCGAGGATATTTTTTCCATTAATTTTTTTTAGGGAGAGTGAAAGGGAAGGAGGGAATGGGAGAGAAAGAGAGAGAGAGAAATAGATGTGAGAGAGACACATCGAGTGGTTGCCTCCTGCACATACCCCGACCGGGGCTGGGGATCGATCCTGCAACCCAGGTATGTGCCCTTGACCAGAAGTCAAACCCAGGACACTCTTGGGCACAGGCAAATGCTCTAACCACTGAGTCAGGGCTAGCCTATAACTTATTGGTGGAGGGGAACACATTTTGTTCATCATTATACTAGTATCTGCAGATCCTCAGCACTTGGTAAGTGCCCCATAAATGTTTGTTTAATGAGAAATGAACAAATGTGTAAAGGAAAGACAGCAGGGGGGCTGAGAAGGAGCATTAAGAGAGGTAAGGGGCAACCAAGAGAGGACAGAATCACAACATGGGCAGAGATGTATGGTGAATGGTGCTAAATACTAATGGACTGAAAACTAAAAAGAGGCTATTGGATTCACTAAGGGAAAATTCAACGAATGCCATAGAATATAAGTGGCTTGGTGGTTTGGAAGAAACGTTTATTTGTAGAAATTTTAATGATGCTAGCCGGACTAGCTGAGACAGCTTCACCAAGATCTTGCAATCTGATCTGGGATTATAGAAGGGGTAGAATTTGAATAGGGCTTTGTTGAGTGGGGAGAGATGGGACAGAGGACAAGGGCGGGGTGTGGGGCTTGTGATGAAATGAAGGGTAGAGAAGGATCACATCTGAGGAAGGGAGAGAGATAGAGAGTTAGAAACATCAATAAGAGAGAAATATCAATCAGCTGCCTCCTGCACACCTCACACTGGGGATGTGCCCGCAACCAAGGTACATGCCCTTGACCGAAATCAAACCTGGGACCCTTCAGTCCGCAGGCTGACGCTCTATCCACTGAGCCAAACCGGTTAGGGCTTAAATATATTTTATTGATTTCAGAGAGGAAGGGAGAGGGAGAGAGAGATAGAAACATCAATGATGAGAGAATCATTCATTGGCTGCCCCCCTGTATGCCCCACACTGGGGATTGAGCCTGCAACCTGGGCATGTGCCCTTGACCAGAATCGAACCCAGGAGCCTTCAGTCCACAGGCTGACACTTTATCCACTGAGCCAAACCAGTCAGGCAGAATCACATCTTTAAAGTAGGAAGGCTGTTGTGTGATCCAGGTGTGGGAACAAACAATACATCTCAAAACATTTCTCCCCTCTTCCCTGGAAGGGTTCTTTGCCTCCCTGACAGCTCGCCTCCCATCAGCAAATAGGGAGGCATGAATCTCAACGCTCTAATATTCAAATCACCATGGTGTATAATTTCTGTGTCGATTCCTTTGATGAAATGTGTAGTACGAACAGTAATGAGTTTAGACATATTTCAAATGATGTAAATATCAAATCAGATCACAGCTCATCTATTTTGCTCCTGTGATTTCCTAGCCGATGCAAATGTGACCCAGACTCTAAACATTTTTTTCTCTGCTTACTTTGAAGTGTCAGAATAACTTTGCAATGGGTAACAAATGGTCGTTTCTCATTGAGAAATAAAATTACATGACACACTACCCGTTGAGGCTGGCTAACCATTTCGCATTCCTAAGCTTCCTTTAAATATAAATGAGTCATCATTTGATATTATAATTCTAAAGAAATATGCTGCCTTAAATATATGCTCCAGCTTTTAGCTAGACCACTGTATTTCTTTAATACTCTCTAGCATAAGCTATTTGGGCCAACTTCTTTTCATAAGAAGAGCAGTGAAAGAGATTGGAGACCTGTGCGCCTTCTACCAAATTATAGGGCAGGGTTCAATCAATTCACAGTGCTAAGTGGGGTCATTTTTGCAGTACTAACAGAAATCACAGTGTTGTGTTTTTTTAGACCTGGCATTTCCATAGTAACCGCACAAGATCCCAACAACATGCAGATCATAGCAAATACTGGAGTAGGATTCTTTTCATTTTTATCAGATGGCGGCAGAGAATTTTTTTTGTTTGTTTGGGGGCTTTATCTTCTATATGTAATTGTCATTGCTGCAAATATGTAATGCAAAGCTTGAGTTCAGTATGCAAAATAATGTCTAAATAATCTGCTAGATGTTGTAGCTTTAATAGCTAGAACCCAGCAGACCTTTGAGAAGAGAGCTGATTCCTATGTTTTCAACTCTTCCAGCCTGTTGGTCACTTAAGAAAAGAAAACGTTAGACTGGGCTTCTCTTGTAGATAAATGGGCCACAGGGGCTCACAGAGGAATTTTTATCATTCACAGCTGACTTAATGAGAATTAGCACTTCTGCCAGAGTGCCCTTATTTTCTGGGGTGTCTGTCTCTCAGTCTGTTAGGAAATGTAGCTGGTGCCTGGTTTGCTAAGCTTGCAGATGGATGCCTCTGGGCAAAATTGTTTTCTCCAGGTGTGATGAGAAATTTTAAATGCAATTCACATATCACATTCAACTATGACATGACAAACTATTTAAAGGTCTTTTCTAATAAGCCAGTGACTTACAAAAAAAGCATGGCTTACAATCACCTCTTTTCTAAAACCTAAAATGATGGGAAAAGATGCAGCTGCTTCTCATTATTTTCACTGTCTTCAGTTGAGGGCTTGAGAGCCCAGAAATCCCTGTTTTAGGGGTTCAACATTGTTAGTTTTTTGGCTTTACTTTTATTCCCACACCTGTGCTCCCAGAACCTAAAGGGTAAAGTGCTGTCCAAGTGGCCTCAGCAATAGGGAGAAGCACAGGTGGCTCTTGCCGATGTGAAATTAGCTGGGGATACGCAAAGGTTGGTTACCAGGGGCCAAAAGTTAAACAACACCCATTACCTATGGACTGTCCTGCCAAATCAAGTCCCAATTCAACTGCATCTTAACCTGAATATTGTAGAGGGGAAAAGGTGTGGATTTGAATGAACAGAAAGTCTTGAGTTTAAACCTCACCTCACGCTTTCATTTATTGAGATGGTACTGAATTTTTACATTAAATATACTTATATTGAACATACACCAAATTTTTATCTTGCGCAGCCTTTTTTTCTTACAGCTTTAAAATCCTTTCCCACCAGGTGTTGGAAGGAGTGAATGCCATAACACGTTGGAGGCACGAGGCACCTGGAATGTGCCTCCCACATTAGATGCTTAATAAACAACAAGACCCACCTGCACCTCTAAAGTCACTCGGGTATCTGGAATTGCTTACTAAGGAAGAGGAAGCCACAGCTCCATGGCAACATCTAATCAAGGCATTTATAGACTCTCAGTTGGAAAACAGTTCAGATACATCCCAGTCCTTCCTGATGAATGATTTGCCTCTACATCATCTGCCAATTCCTACTCATTTCAGCCTCTCAGGTATGAACATTCCAAATAACGAGGAATTGACACTTCATCAAACAGCCATTTAATTGTGAAAAATGATAAAGGGGGAAATCAACCACTTTGAGGATCAACATGTACTCAGCACTGGACAGATACTGTGATTACTTATATGACTACTCTATAAAGAGGTATTATCCCCAATTTTAGGAACCGGGAAACTGAGGTTCAGAGGAGAAATACTTTCACATGCTCCCACAGGTTTATTTAAGACAGCAGTGATCTTCAAAAGTGATACACTCACTCTAAAATGTCAGAGACTGGTCAAGTTTCTTACCACTTGCACAATTCCTACATGTCTATGTTCTTATTGCAGATAGAGGCATGTGCCTCATCTTTTCATAACTCAGACCTTCTCTCTGAGTATAACAATTTTCTTCGTCCTACCATATGATTAGGTCAGAAGCCCAGTTATGCATTCCCAGAATTCAGAGCTGTGCTTTCTATAGATTCTGAAATGAGACCTAATTCCATATTATTCTCAAATAATCTGCTGCTACTTGGGAGATAATCACAAGCCAGGAAAGCAGAGGTGATGTTCTTTCTCATTTGCTTGGTATCCCCAGTGTCTGAGATCAGTAAATAATTATTGATTAATCAAGCCTAATAAATTCAGAGTAGTATTTAAGTCCCATTGTGATTTAAGGTAATCTTCTCTTGAATTTTTAATCATGCCACAGTGCCTCTTTTTTTAAAAAAAATAAAAAGGGAGATGGGATACTTGGAACAAGGGAGCTGAGTTTTCAGCTTTGTTTAGGAAAGAAATTACTTGCCCTCAGTTTATCCTCATTTGATAAACTGACTCATAGCCAATGGATTCTCGTATTGTTATTCAGATTCCACCAGTAGTTCCATGCAGTTAACAGAATCATTTAGCACTCGGCCCTCCATTCACCTGAGCTGCCTGGCCTATAAAGAACCAGTTATTATTTTTAAATTTTGCTAAGAGGATACATCTTATGGTAAGCGTTTTTTATCACAGAATAATAAATACTGGCAGGAGAAAGCTTTTGGAGGTGATGCATGGGTTTATGGCATAGATTATGCTGATGGTTTCATGAATGTACATTTATCTCCAAACTCATCAAACTGTATACTTTAATTATGCACAGGTTTTGGTATGTAAGAAAGATTTTGCCAAAAGTGAAAAGGAGGAATCACTTATTAGCTATTATTTCTGATAATGAAAGATTTTTCCATTATGGTCAGGATCTGAGGAGACAAATTTTACAATGCTTAGTTTGAGGTTGATAAATACACTCCTTATTCCCTCGGTTCATCCTTGGGTTACATTTCCCACCACTCCGGCTTCCCACATTTTGGGGAATTTAGGGAGTGGGCAGCCTGTGAACACTTCTGGTTGTGGTGAGCCTACCTTACCTCAGCCCTCTTTTTCTCAGCTCAAAACAACAGAATGAAAGGCCCCAGGGGAGATGACAAATCTCAGCTGTTTAACTTTTCTAAAATATTTTCCTTGGAGAGGTCCTGGACCAAATCTTAAGGCATTTTTATTTTTTTTATTTTTTATTTTTTGCCCCTTGTCCTTTCCAGACCTCCTCTTAGGCCAGGACAAATTTCCCTGAGATAGGAACTAAAGGCTGACTCAGTTCCCATCTGGAGCCATCTGGTTCTTCCTGCTTCACAGCTCACCACTCATTCCTAATCACTCCCCCTCCTCTTTCTTTCCTCTCTCTGATATATTTTCAGTCTTGCTTCTTCTCCCACAAAAAGACATAAGCCATGAGATCATCTGCCAAGACGGATTTGGCCTTAAGAATAAAGTTTTTAAGTGCCCGACCACATTTCCCAGGGGATGGCAAGAATTCTTAAGCTCTAAGAAAGTGTATTTTTCACTAAAATGTAACTAGGGAAGGTTGTGCTTTCTGAAAATACCTCTGTACCTCAGGAAGTGAAATTCAACAAATCACTGAGAAATAAAAAGTAGCTTTTTCTCATCTTAGGAGCATTTCTTCTTTTCTCTACGGTACAGTATATAATTATAAAGGTTGTTTGAACAAAATAAATCCAGAGACATAGAAACATGGAACAGACTGATGAATCTCAGAGGGAAGAGAGGGATGGATGGGAGGGAAGAGATAAACCAAAGAACTTATATGCATATATGCATAACCCATAGACACAGGCAATAGTACAGTGAAGGCCTGAGGCAGGGAGGAGAGAGGGGTTCTTAGAAGTGATCAATGGGGGGGAAAAAGGGTACATCTCTATTACTTTTAATGGTAAAGATAAATCAAATAATAAAAATAGAAGAGCTTACAACACTTGGCTGGTAGGCAGTATTTAACAACAACAACAATAAAAGTAATATAATTGGGACATTATTATGCCTCTTTAACTTACGCCAGAACTGTATATCTTTTTTAAAAAAATATTTTTTTTATTGATTTCAGAGAAGAAGGGAGAGGGAGAGAGAGAGAGAAACATCAATGATGAAAGAGAATCATTGACTGGCTGTGGATCAAGCCCGCAACCCAGATATGTGCCCTGACCATGGAATCGAACCGTGACCTCCTTCCTGGTTCATAGGTCGACTCTCAACCACTGAGCCATGTTGGCCAGAACTATACATCTTTAAAGTTTTTAAAAGATATGCTTCCATTTTATGTCATAAGTAATGTGGTGAGTCAGGATCAATAATTTTTTTTTCATGTCTCTTGCACTGGCCACTAGAAGGCCATTTATTTACTAAACATATATTGAAGGCTTTCAATGTGCTATGACAACGAGAGGTTACCTAGTGAACATGCATAGCATACCCTCTCATTGTTTCTCTGGAATCTACTTAAATTGATGAAATGGGCATCTCCTATCAGTATTGCTTCCCACTATAAGCCACTGCTGATTTAATCCTGAGTTCTCCTTCTATGTTTTCCTAAATATGCTTGAAAAACCTATTTAGTGAAAAATAAGATAAATTAAATATCGCAGTCCTCAGGGCTCCACAGCTCTGACATAGATTGCTGGCCTGTATGGTAAGTAGTTCAAAACCTTGTTTTCACTTCCCCAAGCCTCCTCCTCTTTCCACTTCAATAGGAGCAGGAATCTTGAGTTAAAATCAGGCTCCAATTTGATCACAGGATCTAGATTCTAGAGAATGCTTTTAAAGGGGCTGAAACAGTGGTTCTAAATTTGGTTGCAATTAGAATTTGCAACCTGGCCAATGTTTCCAAGCAGTTAGAGCATCGTCAGCCTGTGCACTGAAGAGTCACAGGTTCAATTGGATTCCCAGTCAAGGGCACGTACCTGGGTTGCAGGTTTGATCCCTGACCCCAGTCGGAGTGCGTGTGGGAGGCAACCATTTGATGTGTCTTTCTTACATCCATGTTTCTCTCTCTCTCTCTCTCTCTCTCTCTCTCTCTCTCTCTCTCTTCCTCCCTTCCCCCCTCCTTTTCACTCTCTCTAAAAATCAATGGAAAAAATATCCTCAGGTGAAGATTAACAAAAAAAAATTGAATTTGTTTTCCCACATTACCAGAGCTTTATTTTATTAAGATCATTGTGCACATCTCTACTTGGGCATCACTGGCCAATACTTTATCTGCTTGTTTTGTTGTTGATGTTTAAAATAAAATTTTATTTTGGAAAAATTTTAGATTTACAGAAAAGTTGCAGAGGTAATGCAGAATTATCATACCCCTAACACAGTTTAGGTTTCCTCTCTATTATCATCTTACATTATCATTATTTTTTTTAATCCTCACCCACAGACATGGTTAGAGAGAGAAAGAAACATGGATGTGAGAAACATTAATTGGTTGCCCTCCTTACACACTCTAACTGGGGATCAAACCTATAATCCAGGTATGTGCCTAGGCCTGGAATCGAACTGGCAACCTTTCGGTGCATGGGATGATGCTCAACCAACTGAGCCACTCCAGCCGGCCGGGCTCATCTTACATTATTGTGGTACATTTATCAAAACTAACAAACCAACATTGGTACATTCCTATTAACTATAATTCAAACTTTATTCAGACTTCCCCAGTGTGTCCTTGTTTTCCCTCAGGATCCAGTCCAGGGCAACGCATCGCATTGAGATTTTGTCTCCTAATCTCCTCTGGTCTGTAAGAGCGTCCCAGTTTTTCCTTGTTTTCCTTGACAGCCTTGAGGAGTACTAGAGGATATTTTATAGAATGTTCTTCAACGTGGACATGTTTGATTTTTTCATAATTATACTGGAATTGTGCACTTATTTCACAGAGGTGAAATACCCTTCTCAGCTCTCCAGAGGATCCATGATAACCACATGACACCACAGGCCGTGTTAACCTTCATCACTCGGTTAGTTTTTCCTAGCTTCCTCCACCATAAAGTGACTATTTCCCCCTTCCCTGAATTATTCTTGGGAAGCAGGTCACAAAATTGAGCCCACTCTTTTTTAAAAAAATATATTTTATTGATTTTTTACAGAGAGGAAGGGAGAGGGATAGAGAGTTAGAAACATCGATCAGCTGCCTCCTGCACACCCCCGACTGGGGATGAGGAAGGCCCTACGTCAGTGGTCGGCAAACTCATTAGTCAACAGAGCCAAATATCAACAGTACAATGATTGAAATTTCTTTTGAGAGCCAAATTTTTTAAACTTAAACTATATAGGTAGGTACATTGTTATTAACTTAATTAGGGTACTCCTAAGGCTTAGGAAGAGCCACACTCAAGGGGCCAAAGAGCAGCATGTGGCTCTCGAGCCGCAGTTTGCCGACCACAGGGTTAGAGTGAGCCCACTCTTAGGCAGGTAGGGGAAAACTGAGCTCCACCTCGTGGAAGGGGAAGTATCTACATAAATTACTTGGAACTATTAGTGGCAAGGTTTGTCTGCTTCTAACCCATTTATTAATTCAGTCATTAATTATATCTATATGGACTCTTGTATTTATTTTATACTTCTGTTTATAATCCAGTACTATGTTATTTATTTTGTTGCTGAAATATTTCAAGCTTTGGCCATTGGGAGT